CACGACCCCAAGATCAAGAGTTGCATGCTCTTCCAACTGAGCCAGCCAGGTGCTCCAAAGTGCTCTATAATTTTAAAGAACATTCCAGTTTTCATATTATATGTTAGAATGCTTTTGGCTGCAGATAACAGAAACTCCCAATTCAACTGGCTTTAAACAGTAGGGAATGAATCATTGCACAAAACAAAAAGTCCAGGACTGGTTAATTTTTTGGCTTCATGATATCATTCAAGACCCAATTCCTTTCATTTGTCTGCTCTGCCAACCTCAGCTATTGACTTCATCCTCTGGTCCCTCATGGTTTCAGGTTGGCTGCAGTAACTCTAAGGTGTTGTCATAGCAGAGGTAAAATGTCTTCAGCAGATTTTCTTTCACACCTCATTGTTCAGACTGGGTCACATGCCCATACATAAACCAATTAAGGCAAGGGGATGTGTCTACCATGATTCACTTAGACCCTTGAAGACGTTAACCTGAATCACATGGGTGATGGCTGGGGCAGGGGGGATAGTGGATACATGAACAAAATTGAATAGAAATAGAGTGCTATTTGCAAGGAAGAATGGGAGAATGCCAATGAGATGTGCATAATAAAATGTGACATATAGGGATCCCTAAAGCTAAAATTAAGAACCCTTTATGTATGATCTTGAAAATCTCTGCCTGTGTCAAATTGCAGCCCTGAAAGCTAGATTCTCTGACTACATGCATTCATTTTGTTCTACATAGAAACCTGGTCAGTACTGACCCCCAACCTGGAGACTAGAATCCAGTACAGTCTTGAGAAACTAGCTACATGGCATGGTAGGAGTTAAGGGGAGGGAGGATTAATCAGAGGCAAGCAGTGGCCCCCAGGAAATGGGAGCAGAGATGTAGATCCATGAAGGAAAGCAGGATCTAGCAAGGGTGTGACAAATCAAGGCTGTGTATGTGAGCTCTAAGGGAGATCAGGTTGCAGAGAACCTGATGGCAGGGCACTTTGAGAAATGCAGAGCGAATACAGTGTCCCAGCTCTTCTAGCCCCAAACCTGACAACAAAGGAGTGCGTGGCACAGAGCCCACTGACGGGGTACAGTGCAGGGCTCTTAAGATGCTAACTTTCCTCCGGGCTGGCTCCTCTGGGTTCTTAGGTGCTCTTGGGAATGGGATTGGTGGAGCATGCAGTTAAATGGATGCTCATTTTGAAAGTAGTAATGAAGCTCAGGCAGGGCAGGAATTTATACACATGGAATGTTAAATTGTGGTTTTGTTAATGTAGTAGTATGTCCTTTTATGGCAGGTCAGGATAAGAAACAACTCTATGATATCTACACTGAATATCAAACTTCTGTTGTCCATTTACTCTTCACTGTCCTCCACAGTCTTCATGACGTGTTCCTTCAGGTCTTCTCCTCTGAGAGCTTTTCCCTGGGCCCTCATCGGTAGCTCTCAGTCTCCCCCCACCCCCGACCCCCACACACCTTTCTTATTTTTCCTCCTAGCCCTTTCTGCTGCAGGAAAATTTATTTACCATTTCTTGTCTTTTTCCCCCACTAGAAGTAGGCTTCATGAAGATGGGACGTTTACTTTCTTGCTCATGTTTTATTACCTCCAGACTGAGAACATACTTGTAGTAATGTAGGTACTCAGTTAAGATTTGCTGGATGAGGGGAGCCTCGCTGGCCCAGTCAGTAGAGCATGTGACCCTTGATCTTGGGGTTGTGAATTCGAGCCCCACGTTGGGGGCAGAGTTTACTAAAAAACAAATAAAACAAAACAAAACAAAACAAAAAAACACTTAAAAAAACAAAGGTAAATTGGCTGGATGAATTAATGAGATACCTCTTGACGTTCTTCCTAAAATTTTTCTCAAGGACTGTGTCTTTCTTGTTTATGATTGGATCCCCAGGCCTACCGTACTGCCTAGCACATAGTTCCTTTTCTTTACCACTCATTTTTAACTCTAAATCCCTACATTGGTAAACATTCACTTGTTTGTTATCTGCTCTTACCTTTCATCCTGCAATTTCCCCTCCTTACGAATTTCCAAACTGTGCCTTCCTTCCCAACAAGGAAAGTTCATTCCTTTCACGGCAATAGCCTCCCTCCAGGGATGGTAAATGTGTACTCCTCCTTTCCAGTCTCCTGAATCTTATTCCCCTGATGACTAAACCAAACGTGACTCATTAACTCATAGATTCTTAAAACTGGAAGGGGCCAGAGAGATTGGTCTTGTCTAAGTGCCTTATCTCAAGCTGGTCCAGAGAGGGGAAACAGATTGCCCAAAGTCACACTGCTAATTGATACCAGGGCCAAAACTAGAACACCCATCTCTTTTTTTTTTTTTTTTTTTTTTTGAGATTTATTTATTTGAGAGAGAGAAAGAGTGCAAGCAGGGGCAGGCGTAGAAGGAGAGGGAGAGAATCTCAAGCAAACTCCCCGCCGAGCACAGAGCCCGACCCAGGGCTTGATCTCATGACCCTGAGGTCATGACCCAAGCTGAAATCAAGAGTCAGACACTTAACCAACTGAGCCCCAGACGCCCCAGAGCACACATCTCTTAACTCTCACACGACAGAACGAGCAAGTTCCTTCCTAACTCCAGAAAGGAAAAGTACTACAACAAAAGTAGAAACATATGTTTTCCTCTTAATTGGACATACCTTAAATACAATCAGTATATCATAGGAGTTAAGTGTCAAACTATGAAACTTTGATCTTGGGTATATTTACTCTGTGGACAAGATATTTAAAGCTTCTCTTTTGAGATGCCTGGGTGGCTCAGTCGGTTAAGCGTCTGCCTTCGGTTCAGGTCATGATCTCCAGGTCCTGGAATCAAGCCCTGCATCAGGCTCAATGAGGAGTCTGCTTCTTCTTCTCCCTCTGCCCCTGCCTGCACCCCCCACTCATGCTCTCTCTCAAATAAATAAAATCTTAAAAAAATAAACCTTCTCTTTTACTATATCCTTTCTATTATTTTTCTATACATTTGTATTTTTCATACATTTTAATCTGTACATTTGGTTTGTTAATAGTGAGAGAAGTTGCATGTGTGCATTTTACATACACAAATGGAATGATACCGGCTCTATTAGTTCCTTTTGCTTTAATAGTGTCTTAAGGGACCTTTCCATATTAGTACATATAATTCTGTCATGTTCTTTTTAATGACTGCATAGTATTCTGTAATACATACGTTTATTTAACCACTTCCATATTAATTAATATTTAATTAAATTTTTCTCATTCACTATTCATAATTCTGCAGTAAAAGCTTTATGCAGATACCCTTGTGCATATATGTGGCTACTTCTTCAGGACTGATATTCAGAAGTGCAAATAGTAGGTCTAAGAGTAGGCACAAAGTCCCCTCTCTTCTCTTCTGGAAATAGGCTATAGCTGAGTTATCACTGACTCAATTTCTGTAATATGTGTTAATGTTAACTGGGCAGAGGGTGAGTCTTTGCGCATAGTATATTAGGAACTGGGAGCATTTTAGAGAAGTTTCTCCTTCATCTTTAATCTTATTGTATGGAAAATACATTGTGTTCCTGACCTTGAGGGAAAACAAAATCAAGACAAGCCTCCTCCTCCTTCCCATTCCAGAGTGACTGAGATGAGTGAAATTGGGCTCTCCGAGCAACCTCTGCTTGATTCTCTGGTGGCATTTGGGCATTGAGCACACAGTACTGTAATTGTTGGTACTTATCCATTTGTACCCACCTCCTAAACTTTGGGCTCCTTAGAGGGTAAAGATTATGTTTATATATTTTATCCGTAGAACATTAGCATGATACCTAGCACGTAATTTTGTTTTGTTGAATAAATTAATGAATTCAATTCAACGTTAGCATTTGTTGAGTACCTAGCACATACAAAGATTACTAAGAACTGATGGAAACAAAGTTCTACCCTCAAGGAATTTATAGTCTAATGAGAGAGGCTGCAAACATGTAGGAATCAAGGCATTAGTGACACTTATGATTTAAGCCAAAGTGATTTAAGTTCAAAGAACTGTGGGACTTCCCAGGAGGACTAATTAAGGCCAACTGAGGAAGGTTTCTTAAAGGATGTGGCTTTTGAGCTGAGACTTGATAGGCCAAGTTGGTGGGGGTTTTGTTGTGTGTATTTGTGATTTATCATTTTGATGATTAAGAATAGAAAAAAGAATAGATGACCATAAACAATGCTCCAGAAACCATTTTGTCACCTTATTGATATCATGTAGCCTTAGGGCTACAAAAAAGCTAAAGGTGGAGTGTTATACTTGGGTTCTGGAACTAGAGCCTCAGAACCTAGATCAAGACAAAACAGTTTTAGCTCTTGGCATACCTGTGGAGGAAGAAGTTGTTTCCATATATAAAATGACAATGCTGAATGTCTTAGTGTGCTATTTCTCCTCTCTTCAAATAAAACAAAAACCTCTCTTGACCCCCCGCGTCCTTGACCAGCTGCCACCCCATTTCCTTGATCTGCTTTGCTGAAAAACTTAAGTGATCTTTCCATCTGCAGTTCTCACATTCTCTTACAGTCACTTCTCTGGTGCTCTCACCCCTGCCAGTCCATCAAAACCATTCTCGTCAGGGTCAGCAGTGACCTCATTGTCACTCAGTCTAATGGTCAGTCATTAGTCTTCTTCCTACGTGACACTGAATATTCTCCCAGAGCATGATTTCTAATGGTTATGCAAGTACTCTGAAAGTATAAAATACCACACAGTATACCATGATAGTATCATTATTCCTTCTTTAAAAAAAAGAAAAGATTTTATTTGTTTATTTGAGCGAGGAGAGAGAGGGAGAGAAAGCATGAGCCAGGGGAGGGGCAGAGGGAGAGGCAGACTCCCTGCTGAGTAGGGAGCCCGACATGGGGCTCCGTCCCAGGACCGTGGGATCAGGAGCTGAAGTCAGATGCTTAACTGACTGAGCCACCCAGGTGCCCCTCATTATTCCTTCTTTAAGAACTTGAAAATTTATTTTTAAAGATTTTGATTTCTTTCTTTTTTTTTTTTTTCCCTATAGGGGACATGGTCTCAAAATACAGAGAACCTTTGATCCACACCTTTCTGAGGGGTGCAAGAGATCCAGATAGTGCTCACAGGGCCAGCAGCTTATCGAACCTTGGAGAACTGTGCCAGAGGCTGGACTTCCTGCTGGGCTCCGTGGTTCATGAGGTGATGCATATTGATTCTTCTCTCTAAAGCTTGTTTTTTTCTTGGACCTATGATATAGCTGGGGATTGGGAATCAGATCTGTGGTTTTTTTTGCAGATCAGATAAGTTATTGAACCTCCCTTGGCCTCACTAATCCCATATGTATATGGAAAGTTCTATTCATAAGAATTTTTTTTTTTTTTTATTTGACAGAGAGATAGAGAGAAAGCACAAGTAGACACAGTGGCAGGCAGAGGGAGAGAGAGAAGCAGGCTTCCCGCCGAGCAGGGAGCCAGACATGGGGCTCGATCCCAGGACCCTGGGATCATGACCTGAGCCGAAGGCAGACGCTTAACGACTGAGCCACCCAGGCGCCCATAAGAATTTTTTTATTGCAAGTGACAGGAAGTCACCTTAATTTACCTTATGCATTAAAAGAGGATTTATTATAAAGATTCCAAGATAGCTAACAGAGTTGAAGACACCACAAGCAAGAGCAGATGGAACTTAACCCTGGGTCTATGTATGGGCCATCTGTGAGTTTCATCTCTCTTCACGGAAAAATCTGAGGCAAATATTCTAACTGGTCCTCTTTGGTCAGAGGTGGGGGACGAGGTTATTTACCCCAAAAGACTAATTAAGTTCTATGTTTTGTTGACCACTTTACACCCAGTACTTGGTACATAGTACATAAAAGTTGAATGAGCAGCCCTAATAATAGCCATGCGGGATGTTGGCACTGGACACTCCTGGTTTTAGAGTTTCTGAGTTGATGAAATGGGCATCTTGCTGTTGTCCTCTATGAACATCTTCCTCTAGCCTCTTAGGTTTTATATTTGCCCTTGTGTTTATTTAGTCATCAATATATTAAAATATGTCTTGAATATCTACTGTGTGCTAGGCACTCTGCTATTTAAAGATGATGCTGGACAGAAAAAGACTAGTTAATATGTGGCCAGGAATCTTTTTATGACCAATGCACTTGACTGTCTTAAATCTTTATTTGGAAGAAGATAGCTTGTAAATTATAACTATATAAATAAAACACCGTTTATATTATTTTTTATCTGTGAGAGATCAGATTTCTCATATAGAGCACATAACTTTCCTCCAACAAAAACTTACGAAACTGTAATAATTCTGGCTTCTTCTACAGTATTCAGTATGCTAAGGCTGACCATTTTGAACAACAAATATTAAGAAGTTCCTAGTGAGAAAGAATTTTCTTTGATATCTCATGATTGTGTCTTACGAATAAGCAGAGAAATACATTCATGGATATATGCATATGCTTGAATTTATGGCATTTCCTGATTCCTGAGCTTTATAGGCTTTGTTTTATTGATAATAAAGGCTATTCATATCCTTAAATTCCAACTTCGGACTTTTAAGAAATTTATCCATCAGTCATTTCCTCTTCTTTAGCTCTTCCATGAGGGACACACCCCTATTCCCAATTTTTTGTACTTTTTTCTTTTTTTTTTTTAAGTTTTAAATTCCAGTTAACATACAGTGTAGTATTAGTTTCAGGTGTAAAATTTAGAGATTCAGTGCTTAGATACAACACCCGGTGCTCATCACAAAAACTGCCTTCCTTAATCCCCATCACCTATTTATATATCTTTTTTTAATACCTTAGAAATAATGATTATTGGGGCGCCTGGGTGGCTCAGTCATTAAGCATCTGCCTTCAGTTCAGGTCATGATCCCAGGGTCCTGGGATCGAGCCCCACATCTGGCTCCCTGCTCGGCGGGAAGCCTGCTTCTCCCTCTCCCACTCCCCCTGCTTGGGTTCCTTCTCTTGCTGTCTCTGTCTGTCAAATAAATAAATTTAAAAAATCTTTAAAAAAGAAAAAGAAATAATGGTTATTACCAACTTCAAACTAAGCTTAAAGTACTCTAATGTATGTGAACCATTAGGTACCTGATCTTCAGTGTTTTTGGATGGTGCTTAGCAAATCTCTTGTCCTTTAGTATATGAACTTGTAACACTTAAGAGAAGGCATTTGCAGGTCTATTTTATTATATTATCTAAAGATTTTAGCCTGTTATAACTTCTCTGGGTCAAATATTGAAGTGGTTGCCGCATTTTTTCTCTTTACTTGGTCTCTTCACATGACTCAACCCAAACTGAACCATAAATCGTGATCTGAATCAAACCCAAATATTATCATTATCTTTTTTTTTTGAGAGAGAGAGAGTGAGCATGGGGGTGAGGGAGGGACAGAGGGAGAAGGAGAGAGAGAATCCTTTTTTTTTTTTAAGATTTTATTTATTTATTTGACAGAGAGAGATAGTGAGAGGAGGAACACAAGCAGAGGGAGTGGGAGAGGGAGAAGCAGGGAGCCCGACACGGGGCTCAATCCCAGGACCCTGGAATCATGACCTGGGCTGAAGGCAGATGCTTAATGACTGAGCCATCCAGGTGCCCCCCTAAATATTATTTTTAATAACAGCTTTATTGAGGGGCACCTGGGTGGCTCAGTCAGTTAAGCATCTGCCCTCAGCTCAGGTCATGATCCCAGGACCCTGGTATTGAGCCCCTCATCAGGTTCCCTGCTCAGCGGGGAGCCTGCTTCTCCCTCTCCCTCTGCTCCTCCCCACCACTCATGTTCTCTCTCTGTCTCTCTCTCTCTCAATCACTCTCTCTCAAATAAATAAATAAATCTGGGGAAAACAAACAAACAAACAAAAAAACCTTATCCCAGATCTCCTGGTGGATCAGCTCAGGTTTGACAGGATTCCATACATTTTCTAAAACCAGTGACCCCAAACAGTACTTGAACCTCATGGTCTATGAACCAAAAAACGAGACCATGTTTCTTTTTGAGTCCTAGACTCTTCTTCCCTTTTTCTCTCTTAAGGAAACTGTAGCTTGCTACAGCATGCTGGTGGCATATGATTTCCTATCAGGACATTAGAGAAATTTCTTGGTTTGATTGATTAGAAAAATTGAGCTAAAGCAGGTTTTATAACATTCAAGAAGTGTCATCTCTCTGGAGACCCACCTGACCTTTTGAAAGAGAATGCAATTTCAAAGTGCACTTGGGGATGGGAATCAGTGAGGACCTAGCTCCACCACCTACTTACCTGCGTTCACTGGAGCACACAATTTATTTTATTTTATTTTTTTAAGATTTTTAAAAAATTTATTTATTTGACAGAGAGATAGCACAAGTAGGCAGGG